TGAGAGGAAGTTTGGAACTAAACTAAAGTGCCTCCAATCAGATCAAGGAGGTAAGTATAAGACTTTACTTCCTTACCTGACTGAAAATGGTATTCAAACCAGGTACTCTTGTGCCTATGTTCACCAACAAAATGGCCGTAGTGAGAGGAAACATAGGCACATTATTGAAACATGACTTACCTTGTTAGCTCATGCCTCTATGCCTTTAAAATATTGGTGGCTAGCATTTGAAACAGCAGCTTTTCTCATCAACTGACTGCCCACTACTGTCTTAAATAATAACACTCCTCATTACAAGCTTTTTAATAAATATCCTGTGTATGATAGTCTTAAAGTCTTTGGCTGCTCTTGTTTTCCTTTTCTTCGGAATTTTCATAGTCACAAATTTGACTTTCATTCCTCAAAATGTGTATTTGTAGGGTATAGTTTACTTCACATAGGTTATAAGTGTTTAAAGGCTGATGGGAAAATCTTTATTACTCCTAGTGATAAATTTAATGAAAATGAATTCCCTTATTCCCATGAGTTTGATAAGTCACCTGTTCAACCTAACTCTGATCCTTCAGCAAATTTTACTAATTCTTGTCCCAATAATACTTCAACACTACCCTGTATAATTTTCCAACATACCTCATCTTCAGCAGGTTCTGATCCCCAAGTAGTAACTGGTTCTCAGACTGTTCCTAGCAATCCAGCAGTTGGTAGTTACTCTTCAGCAGCAGGTACATCCTCTTCACACTTATCTGATTCATCTTTACCTAGTACCTCTAAGATTACTGATAGTTCTAGTCACAGTCCTCCTTTAATTCCACATGAGGTTACTACTGAAAAATCTAGCTCTCCATTAAATACCAATCGATCAGAGTCTTTCCCATCTAACTTAAACAGTCATAATCCAGTATCTCAACTACCTGTTATTTCTTCCTCCAACAATTTGCCAAAGTGTCATATTGAAGTTGACTTAGTTACTCCAATATCAGCCTGTGATCCTGCATCTAGTAGTAAGGTCTCTAATTTAAATCCACTTCTAAAAACACATTCTGGTAGTCCTAATACAGATTTATAAACTACTCAATCCCAATCCATTCTCCCTTGTTCTTCTCCATCTCCATTACCTACTACTCCATCATCATGTACTCTACCAAATTGTCAACTAAGGTTGACCTTACTGCTTCACAGTTCACTAGTGTTCAACTTCCTACTCCTATTAATTCTCACTCTATGATTACAAGAGCTAAAGCTGCTGCTGGTCATGTTGAGTCAACCTGTGGGTCCTTCGATCATGCTGTTTATCTTACAACCAGTCAGTCTCTTATAGAATTAGAACCTGTGACAGTTGCTGAAGCATTAAAAACTGCAGTTTGGAAAGAAGCTATGCAGGCAGAATTTGATGCTCTAATTAGGAACAACACCTGGACCCTTGTTCCTCCTACTGCAGACATGAATGTTGTGGGTAATAAATGGGTTTTCAGAACAAAATTAAATGCTGATGGTACTCTGTAGAAGTACAAAGCTAGACTAGTGGCTAAGGGGTTCCAACAAACTCCTGGTTTGGACTACTTTGAAACATTTAGTCTAGTTATAAAGCCATCCACCATCAGAATAGTTCTTACTCCAACAGTAACTAATGCATGGGATGTTCAACAAATTGATGTCAACAATGCCTTCCTTAATGGAACTCTAAGTGAGCTAGTGTTTATGCAGCAACCAAGTGGCTTTGAATAAGCTACTTATCCCTCATATGTGTGCAAATTAAACAAGGCTCTATATGGCCTTAAACAAGCTCTTAGGGCCTGGTTTGATAAACTCAAGGCTGCTCTCTAAGACAAAGGCTTTCAAAACTCAGTTTCAGATTCAAGTTCATTTGTTCTTAAAAAATCATCAAGACTAATCTATGTTCTTGTTTATGTAGATGATATTTTAATTACTGGTTCTGATGCAGCCTACATAACTCAGTTGTTGGAAGATTTAAATGAGCAATTTGCCTTGAAAACTCTAGGATCACTCAAGTACTTTTTAGGCCTGGAAGCATTCAGAACAACAGCTGGTATACATCTTAGGCAGTCCAAATATGCCTCAGATTTGCTTGTTAAAACCAGAATGATGGATGCACACCCATGTTCTACACCAATGGCTGTTGGTACTAGATTAAGTAGTGATGATAGTGATTTGTTTGAGAATCCCACATTATATCGTAGCACAATTGGAGCCTTGTAGTACCTAACACTGACTAGACCAGATATTAGCTTCACAGTTAATCGTCTTAGTCAGTTTTTACAAGCCCCAACTGAGTTACAATGGCAAGCCTGCAAGAGAGTTCTTAGATATGTTAAAGGGACACTGCACTATGGCTTTCAATTTAAACCAGCAAGTTCCCTGAATATTGAGTGTTATGCTGATGCGGATTGGGGTAGTAATGTTGAAGATAGAAGACCCACTAGTGGGTATTGTGTCTATCTTGGACCTAATCTAATTCAATGGAGCTCCAAGAAACAAAAAGTTGTTGCATTGTCATCCACTGAAGTTGAATACAGGGCTTTAGCACAAACTGCTATAAAGGTTGCATGGCTTCAAAGTATGTTCACTGAACTCAGCCTTCATTTGCACTCAAAACATGTAATTTGGTGTGACAATACAAGTGTCGGGGCCTTAGCTTCAAATCCAGTTTTCCATGCAAGAATAAAGCATATAGAAATAGATGCTCACTACATTAGAGAGCAAGTTCTTGCCAAGAATCTGACAGTTCAATATGTACCATCAAAATAGCATATTGTAGATGTACTGACAAATGCATTGTCTGCTGTTCAATTTGCTGAGCTGAGATAGAAACTAAATATGATTGTAGTACCTTGTGCTACACACTGATTCTTGATGCTCTGATTTTTTTATAGTTCAGAAAGCTGAATGAATACATCTGAAAGAGAGTGTAGTGCAGAAGAAGAATGTTTGCTATATGGAAGAATGTTTGTTGTATGTTTTGGTGGGTGATTACTTCCGTAGCTCTTAATGATTGCTTATTGAGATCTTGGGAGTGCATCTGTTGATCAAAGGAAAACAGCTTGCAAGTTGCAGTTTTGTGTTGAATTTTAGGTGATTGAACTTGAAAATGCAGTTTGTAGTTTTGACAGATTAGTGTTGAAGAATTTGTGGTGCAGAGTTGTTAAATTGCAGTTTTGTGTTGAACTTTAGGTGATTGAACTTGAAAATGCAGTTTGTAGTTTTGACAGATTTGTGTTGAAGAATTTGTGGTGCAGAGTTGTTAAATTGCAGATTTGTGATTGAACTTGAAAATTCAGTTTGTACTTTTGTGAGATAGTTTACAGAATTGTGTTGAAGAATTTATGATGCAGAGTTGTTAAATTGTAGAACTGTGATTGAACTTCAGGTGGTTGAGCTGAGAAATGGAGTTGTGATTGAACTTCAAATGGTTGAGCTGAGAAATGCAGTTTGTAGATGTGTATGACAGTTTACAGAATTGAGTTGAAGAACTATTAAATTGTGAAGCTTGCTCTTGTTTGGTTGTTAAGTTGGTGCTTATTGTCAATTTTAAACAATAAGGCACAATGTGTAGAGTTGATTAGCTGAAGTTGCAATTGAAAATGCAGAACTGAAAATGAATTGATGCTTTGAGTAGCTGAGCAAGTTATAGTTTTTGAGTAGCAGAGTTACAACTTGAAAGTTTGATTATTTGAAGAGTTGAGTTTATGCATTTGCTGACTGAAGGAGGTTAAAGGAGAACAGAGGTAGTAGAAAAAGGAAGAGAGTTTAGTTTCAGAGGGGATGTAGGTCAAAGAGCCAATGAATTTTGAGAAGAAATGCTGGTGAAAGAAAGGCTACTGAAACATCAGAAGAAGAATCTCCAGTTTGAGAGGGGATGTTGATCAAAGGACAAAAGTGTAAAAAGTTCAAGTAGCAGGAGGAACATGAAATTCTGCAGGACGGTGTCATTTTGATTATAACAAAATCAGTTGTAAAATTTACTTTACCTTTACTCTTCGTTTTTGTATAAAAGAGAAGAATGTTCACTTCACTGTAGCTATTGAAAGTTCAGTCTATTCAGTAAAGAAATTCGATCACATTTTCTCTGTTTTTCTGTTTGCTCGCAAACCCTAAGCTAAACTTACCGTGTGCACCCATTGAAAATGGATATACATTTCGAGCTAGCGAGGTAAATGTTATGCATAATAGACATGGTGTGATTTGTTTTCCCTATGATAATGTTTAACTTCGGCATTTTCTCTGTTGTAGCTTGACGATGGAGATATTGTTTGCTTTCAAAAATGTCATACATTTGAAAATGCTGAACAATATCGCTATCCAAATGTTCCTTCTTTTTTGGACTATGTTCATAATCAACAGGTACACCTCAAGGGTTCCTATTGTATTCAGAAAACTAAGCTTTTCTCTGATATTCATTTTGTTTTATTATTGGTTTACAATCTCCCTACATTTATGATTTATCTCTTTGCTTTTTTGTAGTGAACATCTTCCTTGTCATCCCTAGACATTGTGTTTATTGTTCTTATAATTAACTAGTATTCATCAGCTCATCATTTAACGTTGCTAAATTTTGCATGATTTTGTGTGGTAGGTGGTTGTTCACTTCCGATCTCTTGAAAAGCCGAAGGAAGATGATTTTCGTCTAGAGATGTAAGGGCTTAATATTAGATGAAGTTGAATTCTGTAATTTTACTGCAGATTTATCTTTGTTGATTGTGCATTATTTTATGTATATGTACATTACCGAGTAATTGTGTCTGATGCTATGTTTTGAATGTCAAGGTCAAAGCTTTTTACGTATGATGATGTTGTAGAAAGAGTAGCTCAACAATTGAATTTGGATGATCCATCCAAAATCAGGCTTACATCACATTGCTTTTTCTTTCAGCAACCCAAATCTCAACCTATTAAGTACCGTGGCATTGCTCGTTTGGCGGGTATGCTGGTTCACTGCAACCAGGTAGTAGTCGTGGTTCTAGTTAATGTGGGATGTTGAAATTTCATGGAAAATGTAATATTATGCTTTTTCTCATCATGTTCTTGGATAGACTTCTGATATATTGTACTATGAAGTATTGGACATTCCTCTGCCAGAATTAGAAAGTCTAAAATTTCTCGAAGTAGCATTTCATCATCATATGAAGTATAAAGTGAGTATGCTGATTAATTTCTTAAGTTACTCTAAAAGATGTTGAGCCTTTTTCCTGCTTTTTAGTGGAATCTGTTTGTGCTTCAAATTTTTACTTAAAATCTAAATTTCTGGAGCAGGTGGAGTTGTCTCATCCTGATGCAGAACTCCAGTTGCTAGAAGTTTTCTATCATAAGATTTACAAGGTCCGAAGTTCTCTATTATAAGATTTACAAGTTCTTATTCGTGCGAAGAGATTTAAATTTCTACTTGATTCCTCTCAGAACCTTGAAGGAATTGAAAAAGAAACTCCTGTTGGAAAGAAGGGAGCTGAGGAGGCCACCAGTGAGGTCATCATGTCTCTCACTAGGCTTGGGGAAAATTTTAATCGTCAAGTGGAACAGATAGGTTTGCAGAACGTATTGGAGAATCCAGTTGCTGCTTTGGAGCTATCTAAAAGGCTCCGCTCTCCAGGAATGAAGGATTCATCAGATGAGTTGATGGCATCTATACCTTCTGAAGTTTCCGTTGTTCGGGTTAATACTTAGTCCATTTTCTTCTGTTTATCCTCTTCTCTTTCAACTTTCCATTTCATATTCTCCTGTTCCCAGGACACGGTAGTCTTATATGCATTTTTGAAGATGTTAGAGAGCAGAATGTCCAATCTGAGCACTAAGGTTACCTAAGTTCTAGTAAGTTAGCAGAAGCACAGGCAAAGCCGAAGAGTTATGAATCATCTGAGGTGGATCATAACTCTAGAGTTGAATCCCTGGAGGCTGAAATGATCAAGAAGCAAGTGGAGAATGAGGCTTTGAAGAACCAAGCTATTGCTTCAGAGCAAAAAGCTTCTGGCTCTGAACAAAAAGCTTTACTCCTGGGGCAGACAATTCTGAAGCGGGATAAGTACTCAAAGGATTTGTCTGATGCTGCTTCCAAGCTCATTGAAGATTCTAGTGGCTCTGGGAAGTCTTAACGATCAGGGTGCTGATCTACTTATGTTCCCCTCTTCAAGCTAGCCAAGTGTCACGGGTTGGGAGTTTCACACCCAAAAGGCTAACCTATTAGGTGGAGGGACTCCCCCCATTTATAAGCCCAAGACCTCCCCAATACGCTTTCAATGTGGGATTTGTTACATTCTCCCCCACCCAATCCTGTGACGCCCTCGTCACAGGTGGGGCCCCCTGCCTACCCATCCACCTCACTCTCGTGTGGACCCATAATCACACGTGGACGCCCCTGCGTGGGCGCTTGACGGGACATCGAAAGACGGATTGGGTCTGCTCTGATACCACTTGTCACGGGCTGGGAGTTTCACACCCAAAAGGCTAACCTATTAGGTGGAGGGACTCCCCCCCATTTATAAGCCCAAGACCTCCCCAATACGCTTTCAATGTGGGATTTGTTACACAAGGCCAAGCTCCCTGATCACTTGGACCTGGACTCCTTTGAATAGGGAATTTGTTTGATATCTACAGAGTAAAATTCCTGGGGACGCCGAACATTAAGAATTTGCATGATGAGGTTTTGGAGTTCCAAGGCTGTTGCTCTAGAAAGAAAGCTTCCAGCGTTGAGCATAATGTTCTCGTGTCCTTATAGTTTGAGAAATGTATGTATGTATTATTATTTTTAAACATCGTATCTGAAAATAACAATATATTTATTTTCATTATCTTATTATAAATGCGAAATATTTATCTGTATTCTACTTTAATAGTATACTATCACTTTTAAATATTTATTTTGAATTTAACCATGTATTTGATTGTGAACTAAATAGTAAATATATGAATACTAAGTCATTATATACTTTTTTGTCCTACTTGCCTGAAGTGGAAGACACCTTTGCACCATTATTTTAAAAACTGATTCGATGAGAGACCTAGTAAGATGACCAGGTCCTAGGTCAACCGGTCCAACTGGACCGATGATATCAGCATATTGACATCATGCTCACATCAGAAATAAAAGATGAACTTGGAAATTTTAAACCCATTTTTATTATTCAATATAAAGTAAGGAAATTAAATTAGATAGAAGAAAAACAAGAAGAAAGGCACGTATTTACAGTCCACAACAGCCACCTAAACTAACTTCAAAGTGGTCTATACAAAAAAGATGGCAGCACAAAACCTTTGGAGGACTTCAGGAGAACAAAAAAAACTACATATGCTGTACACAGACAACACAGCCCCCCAAAAAGAGCCCAACACCAGCACCACAAAAGCAAACTCCAGCAAAGGATTGCAACTTGCTGCAAAGCGCCCAAATCCCGGTACCACAACCACAAAAATCCGCAAAGAATTGTAGCCCCCAGCAAATGCAAAGACTAGCACCACAACTTCATGAATCCAGAGCAGAAAGCTAAAGAACTGAAGACTTCAGACATGCAAAAGAAGAATAAACTGAGGGGAAAAGCCAATCCAACCAACAGACCCAAACAGAAAACTCTCAACCAAGAGGGGAATAGACCCAGACACTAGCACAAAGAAAAATCCAAAAAACTATAGATGTTGGATGGGTGTTCTGGTGTTTGTTTCTTTCTTTGCTTATTAGTCTACCAGTGTTTGAACTTAAAGAAAAACCGACCTTGATGAGTTCAATCTCCTTCCTAGTTTGTTCTCCCTATTCGCATGGTGCTGGTACCGCCGAAGTCACGATGAAAGTGGATGCTGCATGGTAGCGTGCCGAATGCTCTAAATTAATAACCTTTCTAACCTAACTACTGAATTGCATAAAGGGTAAGCAAGGGTCGATCCCACAGAGAATGGTTCGATTAATTCCTATGTTCTAAAACAATGAAAACAACAGAAAAATAAAATAAAACGCTAAACAGTAAACATGACAATAGTAATGAAAAAGGGGTTGTAGTCAAGGCAAACTAAAGTAAAACAGAGAAATCTCTAATGGAATAAAATATCAGGTTAAAAACAATCAGTTCTCGGTTCAAGATCCACCTAAACATGCATTGGACATGAACTAACCGTAACGCTATTCTATCTCGTTATTATGGAACTACTGACCCTAGGAAACAACAAGCTCTGTTACCCAAATTCTCCCTTAGTTTGTCACTACTAAAACAAACTCTTCGAGTAGATACTAACCCTTGAACAACCTAGAACAAGCTCTCTAAATTTAATTCAATGGCAGCCTTAAGAATTAGGAGAATAGATCGATCTAAGCAACAATCACGCAAGCTCGGATTATTTAACTTAGGTTATGTTATTCAAGACAATAGACCGAAAACTTGTCCATAATCAGCTATCATCACGTGTCACTCATTGAATAGAAAAAGGACAATTACGGATCACAATTCCTAATTCTAACAGATAAAATTCCGATGACATAATTCAGCAGGCCATTACTAAATCACCCAAACAGAAAATTATAAACAATTAAAACAGAATAACATAAACAACTCCAATAAAAACGAGATTAAGAACAATGTTACTGAAGTTAGGCTACACCCATGACATGAAATTAGGCTTCAAAATCCCCTTGAACTGAAGAAGAAAAATCAGCCTCCCATCTTGACGTAGAAGATAAAAACTTAGAAAAATACTCTACTGCTCTTCTCCCCCGTTTAACCTAATAACCCATGAATAAATAACATGTTTTTCTCCTAATTCTACCCCAGGAATCACGGAAAATCTTTCCTAGATGTTTCCTAAAAGATAGACTTCCAGATTTGACAAAATCTTATCAGATATGGATTCCAGAATTTGTCTCCAGGTTGCACCAGGATTCTCGCAATGTAAAAGATCTTTTCTGGGCTCAGTCACTTCATAAACATTGTAGTCCTGGATGTGTAGATGAATCTGGGCTTTTGAATCACCCACTTTCGATATTTGACGCTCCAGTTAGGCCCGTTCGAAAATTCAATACTCAGCCAGGAAATCCTTCCACGACTAGGATTCCAGGTCCGGTTTTGCAACAACTAATGAAGACCCAAACGAACTCGGATTCTCGCCTATAATACCTTTCTGGAAAGCTTGATTCGTCAACTTTATTTTTTCTGAAGAACACTGTTGCAATCGAGAACTCTGACTCTATGAAAAACCTAAAAAACGTAGCACTGGTCAGAATAACAAAAATCTAGAATTTCCTAATCTTTTATCACTTATTTCCTAAAGTCTATCCAACTATGCCAAACTCACAAAATAAACTCTAATCAACTCAAATAGGCATAAAACATGACGAAAAACATAATATGGAATGAATAAAAGTATATAAATTACACTCTTATCACTGCACTTTGGAGATGAAAATGGAAGCTGCGGTTTGTGGTTTGGAGAAGAGAAGAACGAAATGAAGCAAATTAGGTTTAGGAATTGGTTTTTTAGGGATTAGATTTGCTAGTTAGTGAATCGGTTTAGGCCCTGGGTCGGTCGGAGCGGCGAGTTGACACTATTCATTTGATCTATTACTCGTCTAACACGGGTTTTATATTATTTTTGGTTTTTATATTAACCTGAACTGGAGTTAAGACTGGGTCCTGGTTGAACCGGCCGAACCAAACGATCCGGTCCGGCTTTTAAAATGGTGCGTTGCACTTGAATGAGCTATTTTGCTAAATTTGAATAATATATTTATTTTTAGGGAAATGTCATCTAAACCCCATTTTTTTCTTTTCTAGTTTGGTATGGCAAAAAGAGAAAACTAAGAGCAATTGTCAATTTTGTTTGGCATGTAAATTGTCAATTTTGTTAATGTTTGACAGATCATAAAAGGTTTTACGTAATTACTAGTACCTGAACGATAAGTAATTATCTCTATATTATGTATTTGATATAAAAACTATTTTTAGATAGTTAATAGGTTTTCTTACTAGGGATTAAAAGCTCTTTTGGATGGTTTAAATGGTAAATAAAATAAATGTTATTTCATTATGTGAAATCAGAAGAAGGTTTTCTAATATTTCTTGATATTTTGTGAATAATGTACAACCATTATATATACACCCAATAGTCAGCCAAAAAGGAAATGAAATCATCCTATTCCTAATGAGTTTGATCTTTATCTCTAATCTGATAGTGTACAACTCAACATCTTAATCCTAACATAATTTTGTACAACTATCTTAATCCTAACATAATTCTGTACAACTCAACACTCGCTCTCAAGCTGAAGCATATAAATCATATACACCAAGCTTGCTACAAATAAAACCAATACGAGGACCCCTGAGTGGTTTAGTGAGAATATCTGCTAGTTGGTCGTTTGAGCTGACATGACTAGTGGTAATACAACTGGACAAAATTTTCTCCCGAATGAAATGATAATCAATTTCTATATGTTTAGTCCTCTCGTGAAACACCAGATTAGAGGTAATATGCAAAGCGGCTTGATTATCGCAAAGTAACTTCATCTGTGATACTTTTACAAATTTCACTTCTTGAATTAGTTGCTTCAACCAAATGAGCTCACAAGTTGCTAAGGCCATTGCACGATATTTTTCTTATGCACTTGATCTGGCAACAACACCTTGCTTTTTACTCTTCCAAGATACAAGGTTTCCCCTAACAAGAACACAAAATCCTGAAGTGGAGCGTCTATCAGATGGAGCACTTGCCCAATCATCATCAGAATACCTGACAACCTGTGTATGACCCTTGTTTTCATATAACAAACCTTTGTTGGGTGCACCCTTGATATACCTTAGAATTCGAACAACTACATCCCAATGGCTATCACATGGAGATTGTAAGAACTAACTAACAACACTGACAGAGAAAGATATATCGGGTCGTGTGATGGTGAGATAATTAAGCTTACCAACTAGTCTCGGTATCTATCAGGGTCAGTCAGAGGCTCCCCCTGTCCAGGTGAGAGCTTTGAATTAGGATCCATATGAGAGTCTATCAGTCTGCAATCTGACATCCTTGTTTCTTCCAGAATATCCAGTGCATACTTTTTTTGAGAGATAACAATACCAGAGCTAGATTGAGCAACTTCTATACCAAGAAAGTATCTAAGCAGCCCCAAATCTTTGGTCTGAAAGTGTTTCTTCAACTGCTCAATAGCATTTTGATCACTTCCTATAATGACAATATCATCGACATAGACAACCAGATAGATGCATTGCTCTAGTGATGTATGTTTATAGAAGACCAAATGATTAGATTCACACCGCATCATACCAAACTCTTGGATGACAATACTGACACGGCCAAACCATGCACGAGGAGACTACTTCAAGCCATACAGTGA